AGCACTCTGCGACTCCGATGGTAACTGTATCTTTTCACCGTATAGGATACTTCATATCGGCTGTACCTGCAAGAGGATCTCTCTCTAGTTCGACAAATTTCAGTGAGAAAGTCCTATAAAAAATCCTTTCATGATGTCTGGCGCCATCTGGAATTAGAAGTCACATGTTATGTGTGTGCCCCCCAGCCCCCGAGAATCACAGACCTGCCGCCAGTTCATTGGTCTGTGCTCGCTCACGCTTCCCAAAGTGCAGAAAGCAATAAAACTCTTTTATCTTTAATATCTATCTTCCAAGGTAGCGCAGTCCATTGTCAGTAGTTACAAAACGGACATTCACACAAGCCCTCACTTGCCACGCATGGGCAGAGGGAATGTTCAGGGACACCAAAATAAGCATTGTGCACTAAGCCCTCAAAAAAAACACCGTGTCGAGATCAATATGCAAGAAAACAAATGTGAATTATTAAAAATTTACCCAAGGCCTACTTGGTTGCAATACTAATATTCGAGGAAAATGTCCAGCCTTTGTTATATTGAAGGACTGTGTTGCAGGTCAGGTGGATAGGCCCTCTTATACAAGATTCAGATTTAGATAAAGAATAATGCTGGACTGGAGAGGAATCAAAACATCTCTAAAAAATGCATGATAATCTGAGGGTAAAAGGGCGTGGCCTCTGGCCCCTCATGGGAGGGAGAGTCAGGTGACCAGACAGGGTTATACATATTGATCAGTTCCACTGAGACTCTCATTTTCAATAAATTGTATACAGTGATACATGTTGTTTCACCCCTAGCAACCCAGAAACTAGCTTGATTCCAGGCCCAAGACTCATAATCTACCCCTATGTGATTATCCCTGCCTTTTTGCCTCAGTGGTTTCTGTTTTTTTAACTCAACTACTATCATTACTTCCCACTGGGTCATGTGAGCCCCAAACACACCCCCCCCCCCCCATCTCACTCTGGAAAGGGAAAGCCTTCGAAATAAACTCAGAGCAATGTTACTGGTGTGGCACAATGTTGATCACTACCTCGAACCCGAAACTTTCTTACGAGAAAATAATAATCCCCCATGTGACATCTCCGGGCCAATAAGATAATAGTATTCACCAAAGCCATGATATTTACTACTCCTAAATAACGCATCGTACATTGAACATCGATTTCCTGCTCATTGGATATGCTGAATGACAGCAGGCGGTTTTATTTATCCCATATATCTGCTTGTTTTAACAAGAGGAGCCCATCTTACCAGAGCACATAAGATTCAGAAAATATGATTATTCACAAACAGACTGTATGAAACATGCAGGGTACCAAAATAAAAAGGGATAATATCCGGAAGGGATCAGCGATGCTTAAGTTAAAGCTCCAAAGCCAGCTTTTAATTCTAAAACGCCGCAGAAATCTCCTGATTCCGCGTGTTGCAATATGGCTTCGTTTCTCAAGAGCGTTTAATTGCAGTCGGAGATCCACGTGCAGCCCCGGTTCCACATGGGTTCACACGACGAGGGGGTTTCTGGTGGAAAGAAAAAAAAAAACTTGCATAGAACCATCGCCTTTGTCAGCCGGCTTGGCCACCGGGGGAGGGGGAGGTTCAAAGTCACATGGGAGCCAGGCGCGAGACATCGGCGCTGGTCGGCACGCTTCACTGGACCTGTGAAAAACGGGGCCTGGACCTGGGGAAAAAGACCGAATGTCGCTACAAGCCGGAGAGCGGTCCAGGCTGCTCTCGGAGAGCAGCTGTTACCCACATGCAGCCCCATCTGCCGGGGCCACGTCCTGCCCTTGCCACTAATGAGGGATGATCACAGCTACCAGGCGAGCCTTTCTTCCCGCGCCAGCGGGCCGCCAGTCATGCCCAGTCCCGCAGAGAACAACCTATTCCACCGCGTGGGACGGGACACGGTCACCTGTCTCTCAAGTGGTGGCGGGCCGCATCACAGACGCACTGCACGTCCTGTTCTACGCCCTTCACCGGGGATTGGATCCGGTAAAGTTTTCCTGACAGAACAAGATACTTTTCATTTTACTTCTTTTTTTATTCCTCCTCCTACTTGCTGCCTGAGACACAAATGTATATTTACATCAACAAAAAAAAAATGATGGAAGTTAGTTAAAAACTTAAAACCAGTAGGTTATAGATTCAAATCCTAAGAAAACTGCTCAATAAGCACTTTGAGTAATATTTAAGTCAGGTGTGCGCATACTAAAAATAGTAAGTTATACACCTCGCCTTTGCTGGCAAATATCCTATCTTGAGCACAAATTTAAATCAAAATAGCTGAGAGTCGTGTACTATAATGTTCAGAGTGGTGGTAACATTCTGAAACTGATATAAAACTTCTTCAACAAGAACACGGAACACAGAATGTAGAATGATGTCGGCCCAGTTTCTTTCCCCGCACTCTCAGCACCAGTGCACAAGCGCCATAAATAATACATTTCCCTTCCAAAAGGTGGTGACATAACACAGTCGAACGTTTTAATCTGCGCAGGTTATCACCCTTAAGCACCGATAAGAATAACCTGGAAGTCATTTTCTCTGAGTCTAATAATGCTCCCATTTATAGTTCAAGAATAGCACAAACGGAAGCAGGGATGTTATTGTGGTTATTGAAGGTAAAATACCTTCCTGTATCCCGGTCATATGGTAATATGGATTTCAGACAGAAATAGAAAGTCAAAGATGAGAGTCACACAAGTCTTACATGATGGAAATAAATTGACATTGGGCCACAAAATAAAATAATCAGCACAAAACTTAACTTAATGATACCAAGTTCCCCAGGCCTTCAGATTAAACAGACCAACAACAACCACACAGTTACACTGACAAACTATTTTTAATATCTCTTCACCTTAGCTTATCATCCAAAGCCATCAGCTGATTCCGCTACTTCCTATATGCCAAACATCACTGCTTAATAATACCCATATTTACATATCGTATAAAACAAGGAGATGCATGGTTTTTACATTCCTGAAAAGCAAAAAAATAAATAAATAGCACAACAGTGTAGTGTTGTATGTGACCTGCGTGACATATTTCATGTACATCTGCGTCTGCAGCAACTTCAGCAAAAAAACCTCTATATTCTAGTTTAACCTTGACTTTACCGTAATCCCTAATAAATCTCTGACTAGATGATACTCACTTGAATCAGCCGGTCTTCCTGGCGGCTCTAAATATGTCAACTCTGTATTATTTTGATATTTATAGACCAAATCTTTTTTTTTTTAACATCTGCTCATCAGTCATAAAAAATATGTATAAGTATTAACACCTATAATTGTGACTACGGCTTGGCTGCTGTGCGCATTTTCAAATTATGAATTTTCTTCCAGAAACCATCTGGACACAATTCTATTGTTTACCAATCAAAACGAGCTACAAATTTGCAAAAGGTGCAAAGGAACCCCAGCTCAATGTGAGCTAAATGAAACAGCGGGAATATTACTTCATTTACTCGGTCACACCCAGATTATCTTCTCAGTTTGCTAAGTGTTTCACACATACTGCTCTTTAAGTACAGTAATCCCTGTAGGTCGAAGAATGGCTTAAGAAATGCCTCTCAGGATCTAAGAAAAAATGCATATGTGGGAAAAAAAACCTTCAGGCCACCTTCTGAAATCCTCTTCTAATCACTGTGTGGTCTATCCCCAGTCCAAGTCATTTTCGAACTCTGCTAGGAGCTTAACATTTTTCAAAAAAGAACAAGCAGCATTAGACTTTGAAAGCACTTTTCTGTGTGCAAAACCTAATACATACCTCTGGCCTACTGTTTTTCATCGCTACAGTGAAAATTCATTTGCAAAAACCTCCTTGTTGATGAAATTACTTTCATGGCACCAAGAGCAAACTGCAGCACAGAGTTAAATCTGTCCCCGCCAAATTGATCTCAACAGCTTGCTGCCCAGTCGTTCTGTTGGCAACGGAGCCAGAACTGTTGCTGGTATCAGAGCCGGAATGAAATGGTTGTTTTTAAGTGAAGGCGCATAACAGGCGGGCTGTGAAAGTGTGGTGGGAGTCTTAGCTGTTGAAGGAAGAGGGGAACGCATGCACAGAGCAACACCACAGGAACCTACAAAAGAATAACAGAAAACCATACCCGATACCAAAGAAACATACATGAGATTATGTAATAGTTTAAATTATTGATATACTTTCCATAGTTTATCCAGTATAGAGTTATGGTGCCAGAGGGCATGAGGTACTGTAGGAGGCACCCTGGGCAGGATGCCAGTCCATCGAAGAGCGTGCACACACACACACACACAGACACATATAGGGGCATCAGAGGGTCACTGATACCCTGGCAGATTCCCCCCCTGAAAGCCCGCTCAGGGGGGACCCCTATTTCTTGATTGAAAGTGGCAACCCAAGAGGGTTAACAACTGGAAAACCCCAAATCTCACATATGTTTAAAAAAAAAAAAACTAATTTACACTTATTCTGCTCCATAAGGCAGAGATCATACTGTGAAAGCAAAAACCTGACCTTCTGGGCCACAAAACTTCTTAGTTCATCAGTTGGCGAATGTCCGTCGTAAAAATGCTTTTATTAAAACGCACTGGGCAGAAAATATCATTTGGAAAGAGGCGCCGAGTCAGCTCAGATGACATTATGTACGACTTCAAACGGAGCCATATTAAATTGGGCACTGCTTTTATTTACATAAAAGGTCGCCTTACGTATAAACATATAAATAAATAAGTACATAAACTTTTAAGGGTGATACAATGCACGAAGTCTTAATTAAGACTCTAAAGTATATATAACATTGGTGCTTTATTGCAGCATTATAATATGCAACGTGCGTTAAAAAAAAAACAAACAAAAAAGCCGTTTTCTCGGTTATGTGATTTTTCAGCAGCATTTTAGTCGGGGTCAGGGGGGAAACCCCAGAGACTGGGGTCTGCAGAACTGCACACCGCCACCTGATGGAAGCGCACCCGCATTCAGCGCCAGGACCGGCCTTCCGTGTGCTTCAATGCAAGGAGGCTGCGGTTCAGCGCCTTCAAACCTGCAGTTTAGCCAGCCTAAGCTGATTCAATAATAATTATTAAAAACAACAAAATAAACAATACGGGCTCGGTCGAGCTGCTCATCTATTGTTCGTGGATCCACCGCCTCGTCACGCGGCCGCGCTCCTCCTCCCCTCCCGGCGCGCTGCTTCCTCCGAGTAGATCCGCCAAGGCAGCCGTCAGCCCCCGCTGTGCGACCCACTGAACGCGGCTACTGGTTATACAGCGAACCTGTATCGTAAGCGTAAGTAATGACCGCGGCGCCGTTTTTAGGATTTTATTTATCCCGGATTATAAGGCGAAACTACGGCCCGGCCAGCCGGCCGAACAGCGCCGCTCCCGTCGCCGTTGCAGCCCGCGCCGGCTCTGATGCTTTCCGCGCGCTTCCGGAGCTTCGCGCGCGTCTGCACACGGCACTGCCGCGAGTGCGGGGTGCACAACTAAAAAAACTGCCGGTGGCGCTCCGTCTCCACAGCCTGCCGTGTGTACGCGGCTTATAAACAGCGGAAGGCGGCTGCCGGCTCCGGTTTTCCCGTTAATAGCATGCAGTCGGACGGTATTACGCGCGGGCGAGGCCCCTGTCCAGGCCTACGGAGTGCAGCCCGCATCCCTGCCACGACTCACGACTAGCCGCCTGTGTTTTATTAAGCACGCGGGCCGCTCGCGGACCTGTGCGTCTATTTAGCACGTTAGCATGCTAATGCTAAGCACCACGAGTCGCTCCAGCCGAGTCGGGCTGAATGCTGGCGGCCGCCGTATATGGACGCGGAGGGGTTTTTCCCTCCTTACTGGCATCCTTTGGTTATCAGGGTCAGAATGGCGAATTTAATTTAATGGGTGAATTGAATGCTAATATGCAGCATGATGCTAATCTGGCGGGGTCCCGGTCAGGGCGGGGAGAGGCGTTGGGGGTACCTGGGCGCACTCGAGGGGGGGGGTGCTGTCTGCTCGGCTCACCGTGTTTGTTCGTTGGTTAAATATGCCCTGCAAGCCGGAAGGCTTCCTTGATGTAACCGTGGGATAAGAGATGCCCCATGTCTGAGTTCCCCCTACACATTTGCAGCTTTCAGTTTAATCGTTTTTAAAAACCAGTGTGGCCATTAATATATGCAGTTTATGGTTTCTGGCTGGTCTGTCCAGGACGTCTGGTTTCCAAAACAGCTATTTGTTGTTGTTTTGGCTTATTGGCATACATATGGATTTATTGCAGGTGCTAAATCAACAGTCAGGTAAAACGGAAGCAGGAACGAGGAGGAAGTGATGTGTTTGGCACGGTGTTATGTTTGTTACTTTATAAATTCGGTCATCAGTGTGTTCAGTCTCAGCATGTCCGGGGGTGCACCTTCTGTGTCCAAGCGGTGTCTTAGTGAAAATGTCGTTGAAGGTGGTCACCCAAAGCAGTAACAACCTTGCATGATGTGAGAGAAGTTTCTTTTAATTTTCAGCTTTGAGCTGGAGAGTTATTGGTGTAGTTGTTGGAGGCCGGTCACAACACACCTAGGTGTGATGTTTTTTGAACATAGTGTAAAAAAAAAATTAGGTGAATATATGTCCTGTGAAAAAATATTACGGTGTATATTTCTTCTTCAGGGTTTTATTATTTTTGATGAATCTGCCGTGCTTTAACCTCTGTCTGGACAAACTGATGTTTTTTTTGCCAGACACTGATGGGTGTCATGTCTGGTTTGGATGTGAGAAAAGCCTTTATTAGAAGGCTACCTTCTATACTCTGTTTAATTAGGTAACAGCATCTGTTCAGAGAGAGGATTACCTCAGTTAATCAAGGTCTCCTCTGGAACAAACAGCGGAGTGTGCCTCACCCTCTCAGGCCTGGCCGTACTTCCACAATGGTACCTTTTATGAAGAGCGTCAGGCTGTGTCCAGCCGGGCTTTCGGAAACCTGACGGGTCGTTTAGCAGGCGTCTGCTCCAGCATTTGCGTCGACGCTTAGATGAGAGTTCAGAAAAAACATTTAATCGCGAAGTGGCGCTGCTGTTGACAAGATATGGTTAGTTGCAGGATTTATTTTATTAATCTTTTAAGTGCACGTGTTTGGCTGCCGACCAAGGCTGCGGTCTAAGTGTTTGTGTCCCTGTTAGGGGGCATCTGTGTCTGTGGTGTATTTCAGAGTAATAAGCATGCTGAGATTACAGATCTATTCTGATATGTCGTCCTGTTCCTACAGACCATGGCAGTGATGAGACAGGGAAACACCGAGGTCCTTTGGGGGGTCTTTCTGTTATGCTGGCTGGGATGCCTCAGTGACGTGGCCCCCAACTGCACCACGACACAGGCTGGACCCCAAGGTCAGCTCCTCTCGGCCGTAAACACGCAAGTGGCTGAGCAAATGCAGCGACGGCAACTGGAGGAGCTTTTCAGGAGGTACGGCGAGAACGGCACCATCTCCCTGGACGGCCTCAAGCGGCTGTTGAAGAGCGTAGGCCTCGCCCACGTCCGACAGCTGAACGTGCGCCACCGAGAGCACAGCGGGCTGGGCTATGAGGAAGGTGGGAGACAACAGCATCGCCATCATGGGCATCACGGTCATCCTCCACACCAGCACTCGGACTTCGAGGAGGTGCCCCACCGCCAGGGCTCTGCCGGGGGGAAGCGGGTGGCCAAATCCTCCAAAGACCCAAGGGACGAAGCGGCGCTAGGGAAGAAAACGGAGAGCTCAGATGCACATCACAACCTCTACGTTAAGAAGGGCCCGCTGGAGCTCAGCACCACGCCAGTGTACACCACCAACATCCTGCTCAAATCGCAGGAGGTGCGGGCTCGGAGAAACGCTGATACCGACCAGCCCCGTGATGGTCCCCCTGCTGATGGGGAGGCCAACCCTACCTCGCCGGGCCCAGCTAGCAGTGGGCCGCAGATCAGCAACCTTCTGGTCACAGGAGAGCAGTCTCTGACTGTACCAACGCACCAAGAGGTGCCTGATCTTCGGAAATCTGATAAGGAAGAGCATGATCAGGATCACGAGCATGACCATGACCACGACCAGGACCATGACCAGGACCACGACCACAGCCATGACCAGGACCACGACCACAGCCATGACCAGGACCACGATCACAGCCATGACCAGGACCACGACCACAGCCATGACCAGGACCACGACCACAGCCATGACCAGGACCACGACCAGCATCACGATCATGACCACAATCATGAGCATCCCAAAGTTGAGGTCAGTCGTAGCATATTGTTCTGCAATATACAACTATACGTGCATCTTGTGCAAGTCCAAAATTCTCTAGCAGCTGACAATCCTGCACAATCGCATTTAGACATATAGTCAAACACTCGTCATGTGTCTCTGTCTTCTCATATCTGCTTGTTCTGCTTCCTGTTTTTCAGTGCTTAAATGCCAGCAGGCTCCTGACGGCCCATGGAATGACGTCAGAAATGGTGCTCTCGCTCACTGACTTTGGCTACTTGTGTCCAGCCCTGCTCAATCAGATTGACTCCAAGTCCTGCATCCGGCACCAGGGGGATCACCACTGTTTAGGTAGGGGCATCTCTTTACGTTCACTAGCCAGCATATATATTTTTTTTTTACTTGTGACGTAAGCAAGGTTAATTACAGTTTACAGAAGACCTAAATTGACACATTTATGTTTCAAGCATGTTTCCACCTAATTTGTACCACCTGCACTGTACTTGCACACCTCCTTCTTGTTTGTTTATGATATTTTTGAAGGGACTTTTGCACTGGGAGTAATCTTTGTAATCCTACTGATCAGTAAAGGTCTCTTTCAAATATAATAAGTGAAACTTGTGTTTTCTGTTCCAGATCACGACCATAAACACTGTCACCATTCTCACCACGAACATACCAACACCAGCCCGAAAACAACTTCAATCCACACAGGTTTGAAGAACTGCCCCTTGTCTTGCGTCCTCTTTCTGTGACCAACCCTACCCACCTCGCGGCTGCACCTACTGAGCATGCCCCCCCCCCCCCCCCCCCCCCAGAGGTTTTTCAGAGTGGTTAGGAGGATTTGTATCCATAACCATCATCAGCCTGCTGTCTCTCCTGGGGGTGGTGCTGATACCGCTGATGAATCGCATCTTCTTCAAGTTCCTCCTGAGCTTCCTGGTGGCATTGGCCGTGGGCACGCTTAGTGGGGACGCCTTTCTGCACCTTATCCCGCATGTGAGTTTGCAGCCCAGCCAATGTAACCAGCTCCCCCATGAGCAAAGGGGGCTTTAACCAAATCACATGACGACACCCCTGAAGTGAAGAGCTTTCGCCACGCCACGCAGACACAGCTATGGTAAAAAAACAAAATTTAACCTAATAATCATCCACTGGTATCAAAACTGGCTCCAATCAGCTCTCAACCTTCTTCCTGTTTTGGTTTGTATTTAACTTTTAAATGAAATATATACTACATATAAAGTGATAGCATTACTGGATATATTCTCATGACTCTGTAACAACTGCATTTTTAATCAGTTTTGCCAGTTGTTAACCTCGTTTTACAGCTTTTGGGAGGGGACATCATGCATGTTTATTGGGGGGGGGGTGTGTGGGCAGGGTAGTTTCATTATAGGACCCCTGATCAAGGTCCTTTATCTCCAGTTGCTCCAGGGACTGGCTGACCTGCTGTCTCAGAAATTCTTTGGATAAAAGCATTTGCTAAATACATATAATGTTTGTGAAATTGGTTTTCCCTCCCTCAGTCCCAGAAAGGTCATCACCACACCGACCATGGGGTCGAAGCCCATGATGAGCACGCTAGCGGCCTGGACCCGGTGTGGAAGGGGCTCACCGCCCTTTCTGGCGTCTACCTCATGTTCCTCATCGAGCATTTCCTCACACTCGGCAAGATGTATAAAGAGAAGAAGCTCAAGGTGAGTCCTCCCCCAGGGAAGCCGCTCGCCCCGCACGTCCCGCTTGTAAATCTCCACCATAGCCGGAACCGGCCCCCGGAAACGGGCCCCTGCTTGCATGTCGTCAGAGCCGTTTCCTTATCTCCGCTTTGAAGCGTTTCTTATTTTCTCTTCTCACTGTCCTTGCAGAGCCAGAAGAAGTGGGATCATAATGAAGACAATACAGAGAATAAGCTGCCGGCCGTGGAGGATACCGATGGCTTAAAGCCAGCCGAAGGTCGGGGGACGGCGTCTCTCCGTCTCTGTCACCCGTAATGCTATTGCTAATTTAGCTACACGACTCAGTGCTTCATTGAGTCCTGCAGGGACACGGTCGCTCATATTCAGTTTAATCTCCTGTTTCTTTCTTCATCACCCTGTAGGCAATCTTAATTCACTATGATAAGTTCATGTTACAGTTGTGAAGTTAGTTCTCTCAATGTCTTGCTTCTCCACTTGACACCATAGAAGGAAGCTCCTATATGGCTGCAGGATCTTCTCCTCTATCATCAATATGACAAAATGTATTTCTTCTGTTGCCAGTTGTTCTTACGATATTTGACATATTTCTGTAAATCTTATGGTTGTCTTCTGCAGATGTGGAGATGAATGGGGCTGGGGGCTTATCAGAGAGGCCTAACTTCATGTCAGACCCATCCGGGCAAGGTGTGGCAGAAGAGGAGCAGGTGATGCTGGCGCCCCCTGCAGTCCCAGAGGGGTATGACGCATACACCTCAGAGGACTGCGAGAACAAGTGCCACTCGCACTTCCACGATACCGTGGGCCAGCCGGATGACCTGCACCACCATCACCATGACTACCACCACATCCTGCACCACCACCATTCGCAGAACCACCACCCCCACAGCCACTCGCACCCATACTCCCAGCAGCATTTTCAGGAGGCGGGAGTGGCGACACTGGCCTGGATGGTAATCATGGGCGATGGACTGCACAACTTCAGCGATGGCCTGGCCATCGGTACGACTTCCATCTCTCCCTCTCTCTCTCCCCCTCTGCATTTTGAGTTAGCTGGTACACGTGAGCAACTGGGAAGTAGCCTTCATCTGATTTTCGTAAAGGAAGTGACCTCATGACCTACCGAGTGGGTTTTGCTCTATTTAGACAAGGCTAAAAAATACACTGGAGTACAGTTGACTTTTATAGTCAAACCTGGCTTTCTGTAACCGTACTGTGGGTCAGTTTAAATGCAGAGTTATCTGCTTCATTTCAGAGGTCGACTGAGAAGCCTCACATAGTCAAATTTATCACATGACATGAGCAGCTATCATGCCATCAGCGATGGAGACCTATAGATAGAGGCTGGTGGTTGCATTTATCACATGACATGAGCAGCTATCATGCCATCAGCGATGGAGACCTATAGATAGTGGCTGGTGGTTGCTTTTTTCACAGTGACATGGAGCGTTTAAGACGGTGTCCCCTCCCTACAGGTGCTGCATTCACTGAAAGCCTGTCCAGCGGCCTGAGTACCTCAGTGGCTGTGTTCTGTCATGAGCTTCCACATGAGTTGGGTAAGAATCCCCCCTCCCGCCTCCAGGCAGTGGTTTAGTCCATACATTTAGGAGTTAAGCACACCTGAGACTACCCGGGGGGGTTTGGTGAAAATGGTCACTGCCACATATTATTCCTCCACACTGGCGCTTTTCCAAACTTGGGAATTAAAATGCTCACGTTTTTGTCACTGACCCTGCTAATTTGGCACCAAAGGATACACCTTGCTGGATTTTGTTGGATCAGATTTTGTTGGGAAAGTACAAATGCACACAGGAACGATTGTAGTCGGATCTTGGGAGAAGCACCTCAGGGTTCGAACAAAGACATATTGTCACTGGACTGGAATGATGTGGAAATACAGGAAAGCCATTGAGTCGCAGGCTATCGGTGTTCCTCTGAAATCGGGAGGTTTTGTGCAAGTCACTGTGAATCCTCTAGAAGATGATGCATTTTGATATAGTTACTCAGTTTCTGATAGAAGTAGAGAATGATTTGACGGTGTTAGGGGTGTGATGTAGATTAACGTCAGGCATTGAAAATTAACATGATTCTCTGGTGTCTTATTTCAAATAATAGATATTAGCTCCTAGCAGATTAGTGAAATGTTCAATTTAATCTAGTACTATGCAACAGTGAAAGGGGCAGGAGATAAACGATTTCCCATATTTCAAAAAGGGGATGCGGAAGAATTCCACTGGGAATGCCGAATGGGTGCTCGCTGTGGGTGAAAATGGCAGTTACTGTAAGTGCGTGTTCGAACTGGCACTACGTCCTTTTATGAGCTACTGGAGAAAACCCGAAACTAATTAGCGTATGCTGCCGTATTCAGTTGAAGATGGGGCACCATCTGTCAAGCATGCCTTGTGCCTAAAGCCCTTAATTGATTAAAAAAAAAAAAAAAAGATCGTAGATGAAACTTTGCCAAATGCGCTGGCCTGCTTGTCCAGTCACCTCATTCAGCATCTTCTACGAAAAAGATGATGTAGGACCAACCATTCAGGACACACATGCTGTCTCATATATTCGGGGTGGGAAGTCAGAGCCAATCAGTGCAGCCCCAAGACATCACCTCAGGACGCATTTTAATAGTAAGCGCAGACTCGCAAGTGGTAATTAGGCATGCCACTTTACTGTATCTGTGTCCAAGAGCCTAGTACTTAAACCTTCTGCCGACACGAAACATAATGAGATGGGAATATTGGAAGCCACCTTTGTGTGTGACAGGCGTAGATGTTCTGGATTCTTGATTTGATTGTTGATACCATGCTACCCTGGAGATCTGAGCATTGTTGGAAGGAGAATGTCCTTAGTGTCCCTCTCTCTGACCCATCTGTAAGCCTCTGGTGGTGATTTTCCGAATGCCTCCTGTGATGCCGCCCCTGACGCTGCAACATTCCCTCCCAAACCGGAGACATAAATCCTTTCCCTGTATTTTATGTTGGTTTTAAATGGCAAAGGGAGCCCATTCATGCTTCTAATGGCTGTATAATTTATTGGATGTGTTTAACTCTTATATCGATGATTTTAATTGTTGTGCTGTGAACTCATTGATCAATTGATGAATTAATTGACTAATCTGTGGTTTCAAACCAGGAAAACTCAGTAAACCCATTATGTGAGTGTCGTGGGGGTGGGGGGGTTTGCCGGTAGTATGAATAGATACTACATTGAAAATGTTATGGGAATACCCTGCCATGGGCAGCTGTAGCCCACACCAAACTTCCTGTTTGAAAGTGTAATCACTTTGTGACGCGATGTGCCAAAAACGATGGACGTTTGTCTAAGCGACGTGTCTGTCTAAGCGACGTTTTGCTGAATTCTCCCACCCAATGGGCTTAGGTCTTGAGTTTTCAGTTTTTATCTTGGAAAAAAATGTAAGTTAGGACAACATTTTAACGAAAATTATTCCTGAGTCTATTAATGCCACGTGTCCCTGGACTCTCCTTTCTGCTCGCCCGTTCTGTTGTCAGCTTCCAAGCCCCAGTTGGCCCTGTAGACAGGCCCCTAGCAACACTCTGCCCAAAACTGTTGAGCCTCCTTATGCCCCCCCCCCCTTTTCTTTGTAGGTGACTTTGCTGTGCTGCTGAAGGCTGGCATGACAGTGAAGCAGGCCATCCTGTACAACGTGCTGTCTGCCATGATGGCGTACCTGGGCATGATCACTGGCATCCTCATTGGCCATTACGCAGAAAACGTCTCCATGTGGATATTCGCCCTGACCGCCGGCCTCTTCATGTACGTCGCGCTGGTGGACATGGTACGTCGACTCCCGGGACATTAACTTAGTAACTCACTGGCATTTACCAGCACACCGCCATCTGGATAATAACCACCCATTTTATAAAGCGCAATACTTTAAGATTGATTTTATTGGTCTTGGCAGGAAATTCTGGGCATACGTCAAGAACGTGTTGCAAAGATGAACATGCACATAATGAATGGACAAAGTACAGGCACAATACACAGGGTAAACAAGGTGCAAAACACATTTAAAAACTTAAAACGGAATATTGCCGTATGAAGGTGTGCAACGGAGCTGTCAGGTTTGGCTCATCGCGCTCACAGTCAGGGCTTGAGTCTTCCTTGTTGGACTGGATTTGTTAGTTTGCTCTGTCATTTCTTGCTTGACGAGGCCACTGTTTTCAGTGGGCCCTACATCGGACTAAAGCATGGTGTCGCTGGAGGGTATGCGGGCCGTGGACAAAGTTGGGAGACGAGATAATCTGACAGGGTACTGCCTACTCCCATTCCTCATCCTGGCAGGTCCGATATGCACTGATTATTTGTATAATTTATCATACGCCGTCGTTTGTTATCAAGATATCAACCCAGCGGAAACTGGTCGTCCTGCTGTGTTCCGCTAGCGCGTTAAGTACCTGGTAGCAACACAACATATTGGCAAGTCTTTATTTAGTCCCAGAGCGGCCGCGATACCTCCGCCTGGCTGTGTGGCTTGTCAGCCGCGGGACCCGGCAGCAGAATATAATTAGCCTGCCACCAGTGCTGAAGCCAACCCTTCGGGAGCCATTGCCCCGCTCACAGACACCGGCGGATGAGACAGAATGAGAGCCTGCGGTTGTCATTAACAGGTGCTGCTGTTGGACAAACAGGTGTGAGATTTGCACTGCTGTTCCCCCTCCCTCCCCCTCCTTTGTTTTCAGATCAGGTTATATCAATGTCAAACAGTTGGTGTGCAAATCAATGGCTGCTTCATGTATTCGCAGGGCAGAGTTAGAGCGTGTTTGTATAAAAGAAAACAAGGATGGATTTCAGGAAATTGGCCAGCCAAGAGTATGAAGTGTTTCAAGGCTCGGCTGTTTAGCTAAATACCATTAGATACAGGTAGCAGGGCCCGGTCAGTCATTACAAAACAAAGCCCAGATAATTTCAAAACCAGGAACTAAAAAAAAAAAACCACTAAAATCCAGACTTACTCGTGATGAAACTGAAAAGCCACACTGTGCACCACTAGCGAGCTTCACCTATCTTCTTCAAACTCCTCCCTTCTGTCCAGCTGGCTCTTTGTCCCCGACAGCTTAATCAGTCAAATCAGGGCCAGCTGGACGTCATTAACGAAGGCAGTTCGCTGGCACGGTCCCTGTGCTTATTTGCCATGGCAACGCCGGCGTCTCCGAAGCCAAATCGCATGATGCTGCTACATCTGTTTCGCTTGTTATAACATGAGGGAATCGGTAAGATGAGGCAGAGCCCATCATTGAAACTGTGACACTGAGGTGTCTGTAAAGGGTCACATCTGCCCCAAAGGCTCCACTTCACGCCCACCTTTCCTTCTGCTCCATCATGACTTCACACACAGATATGTATCCAAATATTTTCTCTCCTGCCTCCTGAGCTGTCTGCTCACAGTCCTCATCCTCGTTTTATTTTTGCTGCTGCTTACAAAACAATAGCTATTAATTGCCGCAGCGCCCCTACCCCATATGTTCTATAGGGTTAGACCTCACCCCCCACCCCCACCCCCGCGGGGCTGAAGTCTCTGCCCCTCTGAGACAACGTATGTAATTGCTGCCCTGTTCCCAAGGCTAATTTAAAGTACATAAATGTACACACACAATAATGGATTACCATGCACTCTTGTGTGCCTTGAAGTGACTCTTGTGAATGGCACTATATAAAAATAAATTAAATTTGTATTGCTCTGTATGTATGTCAGTGATGTGAAGTTCAGACCTTGGTGGGACCATATAATATGTAATTTATTACTAGTGTTTATTATTTTTAATGGTTTTCACTAATGTGCTCCAAGATCTGAGACTGGCCTACCTAGATATTGTGTGCAGGACACGCATGCATTTACTTTTGCTTCCTGCTCCCTAGATTAATGTCTAGGTCCACTGGGACCGTGCACCATGTGTTCACCATGCTTTCCCACAGCACAACATAAAATGAGCCTAGGAGATGCAAGGAACCTGTAGGTTAACATCCACGCGTAATTTCCTACAGAACTGCGCTGCCACCAGAAAATAATGGAGGATGAACCGGTTGTCTTGTTAGTTATTTGGGGCGATCATTTGCGATCAATATGGGACACAGTCTTTTATATATATTTTATTTACATGACGCATGGCGTGTTTATAATTCATTAAGTCTGGCCAGCAGATCGGCCTTTCGTCTTCCACAGAATAAAAGGCGACGATATTCTGCCAAATAACGCTGGCGGGTTTCACCACTGGCACCGGGGATATTAGAAGTATGTCAGTTACTGATCACGTTGTCAAATACAGAGATAAGGAGATGCGAGCGAAAAGCTATTTATTAATGCATGTGGTGTAATTGAGATATAAAAAAATAATTCCATCCTACTTCTGTCTCTTTTCCCTTAACTTCAGCACAACTTCCCAGCTTGCACCGGTGCTTGTAGTCGACCAGTTTGTCAAGTTTCAAGTTGATCACTATATAAGCCTCTCCCAGTAGTTCTTGGTCGAGGGAAAAGTACCTACTCTGGTGTAGGGACTTAAAAAAAAAAAAAAGGACCCACATCCAAGGAACTACAATCAGGCCCAATTCCTGCAGTGGGAATATAAGTTCCTGGTTCTTGAAAAAGCACTTTCCCGCCACAGGAACCTAGTCTTCCTGAGCCACTGGTAGAATCTGCCATCTAGTGGCCATATGCTGTCATTGGCATCTTTGGTCATTGCAAATCTCACTTGGCTTACAAAGCAGTTGGAGTGTCCATCCCAGGTTGAAATTAACAAAGTGCATTAAAGCTCTAATCCAATTAGTCAGAAACTGTGTACTTTAGATGTACAGCAGATGCCACAGATTAAGTGGTTGTATTTTAATCATCCTCTTGCTGAGCCTGTCGGCTCCCTTGCATGTGGAAAGAGTGTCGTCAGACACTTAAGTGCGTCGGCAGGCAAATGGAAACCCTGAGCTCAGTTTCCTTGTTTTTTTATGGACGAGAAGCTAATTTCATGCCTCCATACAACGTGGTCGGTCTTAGCTTGAAACCTGAGTTTGCTGTGATACTTGATGCAGCTCCCTTCTTGAAGCCGTCCGTGTGCCGTGTTGATGTGTCCGCCTCGGTCTTCCTCCCAGATGCCGGAGATGCTTCACAACAACGCCGGGGACCACGGCTTCAGCCACTGCGGCTACTTCCTCCTGCAGAACGCCGGCATCCTGTTGGGATTTAGCATCATGCTGCTCATCGCCATCTTCGAGCACAAGATCCAGCTGGACTTGGGGCCCTAACATGCAGGGTGCTGGGCGATCACTACCGCCCCCCCCCCGCCCCCATCAGCCATCTTCATGTCAATCCATCTCTCACAATCCCACAGTGATAATTAGTTTTGTTCCTTCGATTTTCTAAATTATGATATAAAAAAAAAAAAAAAAGTCGTGACCTTTTTTCCCGACCTCTTCATTGGATGATTGTGTATTTTTTTCCCTTCCTTTGGGTTGGGGAGGGGCGCTGTGACTATCTGCAAGACATTTTTGCTGCAAGATTTTTCCTGTTACAGTGTGTTTGCATTATGGCAGGGAAAATGTTTTACTTTAGCTGTTAATAGAACCGATGGTTCCAGATTAGGTAGAACCGAATGCCAGTCAAAGCACCAAGAAGTTACAAGTTACAAACCTATCTACTTATTTTCTGTGTGTCATGAGGCATTCACTAAGTTAACGTGTATCAACCGCTGTGCCACAGCAGCACCAGCCTGCCACCATTGGCAGTGGTTAATGCCAATCATTGTTGTTTTATGGTTTAGCCGTAAAAGCTTGTTTTATTGAATCCACAGCAAAGCTGTATGCATTCTGTGATAATGCTTCTGAACCTCTTTAAGCAATCATTTTAAACAATCGTTCAGCGTTAAAAACGAGTGTTTTGGTTTACACTTCTAAATTTACAATTGTTACGTTTGTGAATACTTAGAGAATTAGGTCATTTAAACACATCCAGAGGTCCATTAAAATATTTAAACACGCTAGTTAAAGTGAACTAGCCACATTCAAACAATCTTCAGATGAACATACATGCTTACAGTGTCTATATATGTATGTATTTGTCTGTAAAGCTATGTTTTACAATTCACATGAAGGGAACTACTGAGCAGATCAGTAAGCCAGTTTGTCTTTGTTAATCAGTATGTGATGCTGGCAGCTTTAGTTGTAATCATCGGTGTGCTTTTACATTCCAGAGAAATAAAGGATAATTTGTCTCTTTGTAATTCCTTTGTCATTTCCCATGAATCAGCAGTGCCCTTCTTTGCATATTAATAAGGACTCCATTTGCATCGTTGTTGTGAATGCCGGTTTTATTCTAGTTGGCTGCTGCTACGCAGGGGTTGCACCTATGAGGCTTGGCATGAATGAGGCGGCTCGAGGAGGCCAGTAGCTCTGTAGTGCTGTGAGAAACATCTCTCTTGGCTTCCGCACTAGTTACCTGCAGCCCTCGAACCTGCAGCCCTCGCATTAGAGAGGTCTGTTCTTAGCCAGATTTCTCACGTAAATGACTGCTTCTGTGGATCTGCATGTGGGTTGATTTTTTTTCTCCTTCAATTTATTTTGTATAGCATGTTCTCGCAACATTGCATTGTCTCAAAGTGCTTTACAGCATCCCTACCCAAAGCCCTCAGTGAGCGAGCCAGAGGCGATAGTGGCGAGGAAAAGCTCCCTAGAAGGAAGAAACCTTGGGAGGGACCAGACTCAGAGGGGGAGCCTATCCTGGGGCTGGCAGGGAAAGTCCCAATTCACGTTTTTCTTTCTTGCAGGTGACACACCTTCCCTTCATATCTACATTCATTATCTTGGCGGCCAGATAAAAGCTCAAAATACATATTAGTCCTTTACAGTACTAATGACACAAGCCCTCCAACCACAGTGCAGAATGCGAATTTCAAAATGAGCTCATAGTTTTTTGTTGTTTTTTTTCTAAATCAGCCCAAAATGAAATTACTTTCAGTTGTTGTGTGAATGTCCCTGTTGGATAGCTGGGCTGCTCTATCGCCACATCCTCCCGTTTCGGTAACTCACTCATGCCTTCTTTAATCAAACCGATTTTTGGCGCAAATTGCCTGTAACAAAAATCACCTGTGTGCTACAGAGAACTCATGCATTTTATAGTGTAAAAATCATACAAAATCTTTAAATATGCAGGTACATATTCATTTCAGTAGACATTATGGAAATGCGTTTCATCTTCTAAGTTCTACTTAATGGGTCTTGTACAGCGAGAGTATATATTTAGCTCATAAAGGGACTAGTTCTGTGGTTGCTATGTTAGTCTGACAATTACATCATATCTATAATATGGAATAACACCGAAATAACTAATATATGAATAAAATTGCATTCCTGTAAATCATGAGCAGAAGAATAAAAGGAAGTGAACTGAAGACAGTCGGACTGAAGGTTTTGGCTGAGGAGTGCTGTGTTTGTTAGGGGTGAGGTCCCCATAGCTAGATGAGGCCAAGACAGTTCCTTAGGTAGGTCAGGGCTGCCTCATGCTCCTTCTGCTCTTTCTCCAACCTGTCTTTGGTGGCCTGTAGACTCTGGGGAGCACATGCACGGCAACGACAGGCATTAGCACTGGACACCCGTGAGGTCCTGGATCTCAGAGCAAACAGGAAGCAGGATGTCTATTACAGTAGCCTCCCGGTTTTTGCGTACATGTAAGTACATAACGTGCGATGACGAGTCGGTTTCTGATGTTCTTAGGAGGCTTAGCCTGTATTTGGAGATATTTCCTGAACACCTTCACTTGAATGGCTGTAAAAATGCAACTTATTTCACATCTGAAGAACCAGAAAATTATCGATTACCTGCATTCGAGTGTTCAATTTTTTTGCAATTAAACTCAATTCATTGTTTTTCTCCTTCAACGTCCTGAGTTGTTCTTGAAGTATCTTTTCTTCAAATGTTCTCTCTTCAAAATGAGTAATGAAATTAATTAAAATCACCCCTGTATACTTTCAAATGAAAATAATTACATGAATATTAAGAATATTGAGATTTAAAATGCTGCAAATAAATTAAGTACGCTTAAAATATTCACTGTCATTTGCCTGAATGAGGTTAGAATGCAAAATGGACGCAGAAGGTCACGTCACCTTCAGCGTAGCCTCTGTAGGTCTCCAGGATCTCCTCAATGCCCTGCCATTGAGGTTTCCACCTTTTCTCATGGTCTGGGGACATCTCCATAGACTCTTCACCTGAGAAGCCGGTGGAACCCAGATTCTGAACCTCACCTTGATTTTGACCTTCAAACTCGGGCAAATCGCACACAAGGTCCGTGTGATCCTCTGTTGGAGGAGAAGATAGGATTCCACGGTTTTATTGCTGAGAACATCTGACATAATGATTACTAAAGTTTCACCATGAAAAAATGGTTAGAGTTCTGTGGTTTAAAAGGAAAACCACATCATCAAATAATGTTGATTTTTTTAAGCATAACAAACTTGTTATAGGAGGCCAAATGAAGAGCAAATTACCAAAATTGACTCAGTCAATCTTTTGTTGTTTTTAGGGTGAGACCGCCAATGACCTAAAGTCAAGCTTATTCATCATACGTTAGAGTATCAGAGACAAAAACTCACTCATTGCATTTTTTTAATGTTTTTCAGACGAGACTGCTAATATCCAGGCTTCCTCATCATGTTACAGTGTTGGGAACCAAAATGGTCCAACAAATTTTTTTTCTGAAAAGGTATCCTGTGGACTGAGTGAGCTTTAGAAATTTGCTCCTCAGATGCATGGACCACACTGCTCTATGAATGTCTTTGAAGCCTGGATCATTCTACTGAGAAGCGTAGGGGGGTGTCCACCACTTATTACAATATGGCATCATCTAATGGACGGGAGGATTCTAAAGCCCCATGACATCATTGAGGTCTCATGCTATAAAATCTTCATTATACCTCTATACTCAGGATAGAGCTGAGGCTTCAGGTCGGGCAGAGTGGAATAAAGGTTCTCTGGCTCACTCCCACCCAGGGGGGGTCCATCCAGGATGCTGTTTTGGGGTGGAGCTGGAGAGGGTGCAGTTGATCTCCTCTTCTGGGTGACGGATTGAAGAGAGTCATCTGCTTCTTCAGACAGTTGTCTCTTCGTGTTTTGTGGAGGCTTAATCGTCACCACCCCTGGTGACTGGAAATGCCCCAGCGTACAGATTCATTACTGACCATTTTCATTCATAAATCTTAGAGATACATTTAAAACTCTTCAGAATGTTATGGCACCACATGGTAATAACACATCTACAATATGCAAACATCTGTCTGGATGAGGTAATTACCTCACAATGAAACAAATGGAAGGTCATTTTTAAATGGTGTGTACCACAGGAGTCAAACTCCAGTCCTGGGGGGCCGGAGACCTGCACATTTTTGGGATTTCCCTCGTTTAACACACCTGATTCAGCTCCTTGTACCTCCTTGTGCTAATTACCAAACAGCTCTTGAGCTGAATCATTTGTGGTGGAACAGGGAAAGAACTAAGCTACACAGGGCTCCGGCCCCCCAGGACTGGAGTTTGACACCCCTGGTGTGTACATTGAGAGACGTAGGTATAGATACACACCTCATGTTGAGCTGCGCTGAAGAATTCTTTATTGTCATGTACAGAAATATATGCTGGGGACACAGAGGATCCTTCTCTGTCCATCGTTGTTTTGGGTTTTTCTTGAGCTGAATTTTCACCTACGTAAATGAATACAAATTAGCTCATTTAAATTGTGTTTGAAGAACCTCTAAAGAGCAGTTCTGTGTTGTTTACTTTCCGATCTGTCTCACTCACTTCTTTCCATGGACAGCTGAAGCATCCCTTCTGCCCGCTTGGTGTCAGCAATGCACCAGATCAAAGTCTTCGTGTCAAACGCTGGTTCTAGACTCCCTGGCGCTCTGACGTTGTGTTGTGCTCCACCCTGAGATGGCTCTCTGTTTGAATTAAGGTCTTCCTTTTGCAGTCCCTCCTTCACACCAACACCTGCCTCACACATAGCCTTTAATGCTTCGTATTTGGCTAGAGGAACCTGCATTAAAAGCAGGTTGGGCATGGAAATGGACCGTATCACCCTATGACCCTGTCCGGGGCTGGGCCCATCTCTGGGTGGCATAGGTACCCTTTCCTCCACCTGTCCATGTTGGGGAATGGGCGCCTCCTGGTGGAAGGGAGGGTCCTGGCATCGACTGGTACAGCTTCTCATGTGCTTATGTTCATCCCTATACTTATTCTGCTGGTACGTCGGACTGAGGTCTAATGCCTTTAATGAATTCTGTGGCTTTGAGCTTCTCTGGCAGCTCCCAGAATCCACTTGGGCTGAGCTAATAAAAACATACAAAGTACAAACATGGTTCTGCTTGTTACTGTCAATATCCGGCATGTCCTTTCGCTGCAAATTCTACTGCCAAGGCAGGTTTTTCGACGGAGTGAAAGACACATTTGAGGGGAATAAAAGTTCAGTGCAAGCAGGAAGAACTTCTAAACATAGCTGGACAGGAACACAAAAGCTTTTTAATCTCATCAAAGGAATAAAAACCAATATTGACCAGGAAAGTGAACAAGCCATGGAGTTGAGTGTGAAGACGCTTTGTAAAGAAAATGTAGGGCTGAGGGAGCTTAGTAACATCTGACAATAGCTTATTGTGCCTAAGTGAGATGTACTCAGTGTGAGAACAGAGAAACCATACATAGTGAAGGATTTGAAACCCATGGAAGGCAAACGAAACTAACCATGTTTCACTGTCTTTTCTGCTGAAACCATTCCAGAGTTTTGCTTCTACTCGTTGTGGATTTTGGGAATGCATATGTTCCTTAATGAGATGAGATTTTTCTGGAATGAACAGGCCCTTTCGTTCAGTTGTGATGGTCCCACGGAGTCTTCTCCCTGGGGAAAACATGGAAGGCAAACTCTTTAAGAGGCTTAGAATACGTTTTCCACCAAAACTGTAGGCCAGAGGGTCACTTGATAAGTGGGCCATATGCTGTACGTTCAGACAAAAATATCATCAAGGATGTTCATCTGTAGCCACTAAAATGGTGTTCTTACCCTTTTGTGTCTCTTGTGGAGATATCCTTGACCTTGAGCTCAAGTCCTGAAAATCCATAATGAAATTTATCAAAGCCACATATCACAGCCACGTCTGATGGAACAGAAGCCTTTCAGTGAAGCTCTGCTCACCATCATGTCTTTGTGCTGCTTGCCCTCCTCTAGGCTGGGGGCTTTGCCCAAGGCGACCCTCTGTCTCCTCCTCTCTTTCTTCTGGGGAAACCTCAGCTCTATATCAGCAACAAACCTGCTCTCCACACCCTTTTGGCTTGCAATCGTCTCCTTAATCCTCCTGCAGCGAGCGAGGAACATGCGTCTCTGGTGGCACTTAACATGAACTCCATGTGAACGTGGGAAGTCAGCCATGCAGCCATTAAAAGACTGTCTGGATAAATTTAATCAAAACCTTTGAGGTCTCTAATACCGACATGGCATTCGCCGCCCGACCCACGCCCAACCAACCGCATCGATACGCAAAGTGCAGTTTGCCACTACAGAACGAATCACAGAATAGGTATAATTAAATCAGTTAATGAAAACAGAAGACTCCTCACCTTCTGCCAGCATCGCTGTCTCGGTGCCCAGCCCTGCGGGTCGGCGGCCTGGCAGCGATGGGGTCCGCAGGCAGGGGGTGGAACGAGTGCAGAGGAGAGAATGCACTCAGCTCCGAAGTCTGAAGAGGCACCTTCTTGTATGTGTCAAATCTGTTCGTGTGAGGGGCAAACAATAGACAGTCGTCAGTAAACGTAAAACAGGCCATGTCTACAGGGACACCAATGGACCGCAGCCCTGACCTAAGCTAAATCGTCCTAGCTACCATCCATCTGTCCATCTTCCGAGCGTTTATTCTGCGCAAGGTCGTGGAGGGTCTGAATTCAGTTTTCTTTATTTCACTAGCAGCGTTGTTGTTTCAAAGACACATGTGCAGGCAGCATGATTCAGGCGTGGTAGGCAATTTGGGGCTGTCCTCCCAGGACACATTGCCTAAGGTCTCCTCCACACCAGGGGTGATCATAGGATTTTTTTAAACTAGTGGCCATAATTTATATAGAGGGGCCAACCTTATCATTAGCCAATGATATGTTTTGAATCTGTGAGTGACAGGGGAGGGGGCCAATCAGCATTCAGCAGGAGGCAATGCCTCTGTGGCCTCGCCCCTGTACACACCCCTGCCCCCTGCTAATGAACCACACTCACCTGTAAAACAATGGCTGGATAGGAAGGTAAGCAGGGTATTGATGAGAAGGCGACATCGTGGCTGAGTCGGTAAATGCACCAAGGTACCCAGGCATTGGACAGAGGACATCTCTGCAGGTGCTGGGACCAGAGTCTGTTTGATGACTGTTGTTGGCTAGCCTTTACAATATAAAGAAAAAGACCTCAGATGTACTCAAACATGGCTTACAGGAGCAATGATCTCAGCCTGTTGGCGAAGCTGATCGAGTGATCGTTGTTTTATTGGCCAAAGGGGAACCTGGAATCGGGCCTCGTTCTCGTGGGAAGAGGCAGGCAGGAAATGAAAAAAAAATGCAGAAAATAATGCGGCATCTTAAGCTGGATATAACAGGACTTCCAGGGTTAGGAAGACAAAGATATTACTACTTTCCAGGAGAAATCCAACACCACTGCTATTACAAGTATTATGGGGATTTCTGTGACCCATTGTTTTGAGACGATCTCCATGGATACCAGGCTGAGCCGTGCTGTCTACTGTTGAACTGCATTGCCTGGGCCCATCAATCCGTGGTCTATTTGTAAATCTTCTTTAGATAAAAATAAACAGACCACTCGTCTATTATTGTGACCATCATTAGCTTGCGCTTGACCGTTTGCTGTGCTTAGTGATCAAATCTGATAGAAGGGAAGTGACTCTGTGGAATCTTCAGAAGTTCATTTTTAAGAAAACATATCCTAATGTTTGCTTGAGTAATTTATTATTTAATCATTTGCTTGCAGCCCATTCTATAGTGTTTATCACCATTTATTGGTTTTTTATGAATTTAATGTGAGGATTTTGCTCTTGTGCATCAACGTAATCAGCATTGACCTCTGAAAATGTTAAAGGCATTTTTAAGTTTTAACACTCTGATTCTTCCACTGGACTGAGATGTGAGAGATGATGGAAGAAACACCCAGAAATCAGCTGAGGGCTGAGGATAAGACCTTCCCCTTTCCAATCATCCCGCCAGAGTGCGTCATTTGATCATTAGTGCTTAAGTAGCTATCCGGCTATATGGGCGAGGCCCAGAAGCCTGTCTGCCACATGATTAGCTTGTTGACCAATGGGACGCCTACCTTTGTGGAGACAGTTCTATGTTGGCCACTGGGTCCCTCTGGAAATAGTAGCCTCCCATGGGAGGGGCGACGGCAGAGGGAGGGACAAAGCCAAACGAGGGGCGTATTGAGAAAGTCTGCATGTGATAGGCAGAGGAAAGCATCCAATCAGATGCTGCTTTTGTCAAAATTCCATCTAAATGTTATATTATGAAGATCAGAATGCTGGGAATAAGCTTGCGGTGTTGTTGCGGTTTTTGAATAAAGGAAAATGGAAATAAAGGAATGGAAAGAGGCACAATGATGGCAAAAAAAAAATTAATAATATCTGACCTGTGTGCTTTCTGACCCCCATGGATCAGGGGCGAGAGTCGACGGCGGCACGGTCACCATGGGTACACTCCTTCCCAGCGGCAGGAGCTCTGTGAAGGGCTTGCTGGAGCCCTTTCCAGGTAATATGGATTCTCTGGCCGTGGACTGGACCTCCCCTCTACCATATGTTGAATCTGCATCATCAGCATTGGAAAAACTCAACGTGTGTTTGCTGCAGCAAACCTTGTCTTATAGCATGTGTGCTGTATGCATGTATCTTGTTTCACTTGTACCTTTGGGGCCGTTTTCTGGTTTGGTCAGGGTCCTCATATCTGTCACAAACCCATCCAGGCTCTGGGCCAGCACACCAGGCATAGGTTGGAGCAGTGGCACACCCCTGTGGGAGTAATGGGCATCTCTGGGGGGGATGAGGGAGGACCCACTCATCGTGCTCCTCATAGTAGGTACCACAGTCCCCAGGGTCCTGGACTCCACACTGCCCCCTGCTGGTATTTCTATCATTAGTCCCATTACATGCATACCATACATATTCTTAATAGGAACCAAATTGACATACAAGAACAGGAGCAACACAATGAAAAACGAATTCTGGTTTCATTTTCTTCCTCTTGCATCCCTAACTGATTACTGTCTTGGTCTCGCACGCCCTGTCAAATCGCACTCCCCACACGTCCCTCGGGGCGGCCAGTCCCTCGCGTTTCCTGCCCTCTAAAGCTCTGTGCTGCGAGTGCAGATGGGGAGGGAATGAGGACCCACACTGGGGTCACCCATCCAGTCCGGAGGACCCAGCAACCTCCGTCTGCAGCGGCCAGGGCTGGATTGGCCATCTGGCATACTGGGGCGTTTTCCCAGTGGGCTGATGGGTTCATAGGCCGGTAAAATGTATCATGGGTCCTCCCCACCTCTAAAAAAATTATCAAAATTTCATGCAGGTGATCCCCAAAGTCCAGGGTTTCGAGTCCCAGTCCAGCCCTGACGGTGTACAGAAGCCCCTGTGAGCTGAATCCAGACCATAGAAAAAGCTCACTTTCTCTTCTGCATTTCTCACGTTTCTTTGACAAATACCAACGTTCAAAGCGCCTTTTCGTTTAAGGAGCGGACTGGGAGCCGATCGGCTGACACAACCTGCCGGTCCATCTGAGGAAATCCTCCTAATGACTTTGCAAATACGCGCCGTACAGCAGCAAAAAGAAGAGTTCTGGAGCAGGAGTGCGCTGGGGGGTGTTTGTGCCGTGAGCTCTAAGGCAAGCTGAGAGGAGCCTTTGTTCGTTTGTGGAAGGCATGCGGTGGAGATATTGCGACGCGACAGCCAGAAGTCACAGACGTGTGAAAGCCTTGTCGCCATGGAGCAGAGGGGGCCAATCCCGCCGTTGCACTCACCTTTCTTGCCACGTTGCTGCTGCAGGTTCTTCAGCTTCCTCTGCAGGTGCATGACGGTGTGGCTAGATGCCATCGGGACGCCTCAGCTCCCGTCCACCGGTCCGTTCCTGCTCCCCAGGGAGCGGGGGGGGGGGGGGGAGGTTTGGCGAGAGTCTGCGTCAGCGGGGTGTGCCGTCGCTTCTTGCCGTCTGTTGTACGCGTGTCTGCTTGCACACGAGTCACTTCCTCCTCCAGTCCCTGCGCGCAGAACCAACCCCCACGGCCAAGGGCCTCCACTGCTGTGGGCTGCCATTCTGACAAGCTGTGATCTCTGGAAGTCGCTGCTAACAGGAAGTGGGCTGCTGTACACGGCTCGTCGAAAAACCACCAAACATAACTGTCACACGATGTCAGGGGCGCACTTTCGAGAACATTAAACCCTTCCTAGAAGGACCTTTTGAATTTTAAACACTGAAAAGTCTCCAGACGGTCCTGGGATGTGACATGATCTGGGATATGAAGCACTGGGCAGTGAGTTCTGGAGAGATCAGTCTTCAGATGCAATTCCTCCTGTTGATCATAGCTGTGGTTCAGTTGGTGTTGTGACAGGAAGTTGTACTATATGTTAAATTGGTTTCACGTCTGGTTTTAGAAGAGACTAGAAGGCTTTAATAAATGAGCAGATAATACCATTTAAGCGAGGATCCGAGTGGCAAGTGATGGCTCATCTTATGAAGTCACCTGTACTTAAAAAAAAAAACAGCAAAACACAGAACAAAGGAATGGATGCTTTAGGAACTGTGAGTGTTTCTGTGCAATTCAGTCCGTCTGTGGTGCAAATATGCTCAGGAATCTGGTTTTTGAGTCAGGAAGCAGTCCCCCCCCCCCCCTCATCCCTCCCCTGGGTGCAAGTGAAGTCTAAAATGATGAGGCTAAAAGTAAATTATGGAATGGCCAATATCAAGGAGGCAAGACAGCTCGTGTGGAACATCAGCAAAAGTTAATTAATCACATATATAAACCGGCGAAGAAATAGTACTACAAAGATCTTGCTAACCACAATGGTCAAGTTCTACTCAAACACGTTTCAATTAAATGTGCCCTACCAACAGATACTGGCATTATCCCAGCACAGACACGTCCCCTCACCTAGAACAGAACACCTCTGCACATATAAATCAGGGATTCTGCTCCATATATGCAGTTATTTTTTTTCTCTCTCACATGACCAGTCACATAAATTGAAACTACACGTCTGTCTGTATTTTTTCACTAGTTTGTGATCATCGTATCTAAATTCAGCAACCAAGTGGGTGTCGCGTTTCGTTCCGACGTCAAGGTAAAAACGGGACGAAAAAACTCGTTTCAGTTTAACTTAGCAGTGTGAGAAAAAACAAACACTCTTAATGAGCAGCAGCCACACTGGGGGGGGATAATAAAGAATATAAGAACATTAAAGAACACAGGACTGAGATCACAGCCACCAAAGCCTAATTTTTTTCTGAGGTTTCCTCTCTCGCGAAAGCACGCATTCAGACACAAAACCACGCGCGCATATTTTCTTATCTGCGTGCTGTCATTACCTCTGATCTAAATGCGGCTGGGTTTTGTGTCTGTCTCCTTTCATGTTATTTTAGACGCTGTTGACACAAACATTTCCTGTTCTTACTCTTCTCACTACCTCAATCGGCCGGATTAGTGGTCATACTGACTTCATTTACAAAAACCTGGACGCCGTCTCCGGCTCCCAGTCCGTCGAAGAATCTGATGGCACGTTGTTGGAAAGGAAAGGATCGATTAATCGATCGCTAAATTCTCTATCATTTCGCTACTCGGTACTTAATCAGTCAATAGAAAAAGACTTAAAGTAACATAAGGCATATGGGGAAAATGTGTGATTATTTCAGTTTCTAAGAGACCACTCCAGCAGATTTAGACTACAGTATTAGTGTATTGAAAGTATGATCCAGTATATCATTTGCCTACAAGATCTCCAGAGTTTGACTCAAGAGAAGAGAGTTATGATGGGGTGGATTGGTGGTGCTGCTGGTGGTGGTGGGGTTTGGGTGGACATTTAAAAAAAAAATGTTTTGGCTGATTCTCCATCAGCTATGTACAGCATGGTGCAGTACAGGGTCAAGCCGTCAATCTGGAGCCATATGGCACGAAGCAGGTGTACACTCTGGATGGGATGCCAGGACATTACAGGACACATAAATATACTTTTAAAGCATAAAGCCAAGTTTTCAGTTTTGTAAGAAAGCAGAGCCTCTGGAGGACATCTCCCCCCCCGACACACGTACAATCCGGTCTGGCGTCACGCAGTATCGCGTATCAGACACCCCCATCCAGCAAAACGAAACGGAGAACGTGACTTAATGAGCCGGCGACCGAGCGTCCGGCTCCCCGCTGCTCTGGCGGAGCACTGCGCAGAGACACCGGCGTCTGCCTGCTTCTCTGCTCAGAGCAAAGGAATGACAGCCGATAAGGAGGGGATGTACAAGTGATGTTAGTACAAATCTCAGACGCTTGCTGGAGAGCTGTGTCTACAATTGTACAATAATATAGTTATAAAGAAATTATCCAAACACAAGGAACACAAACTATATATATACGGGGTATTTACTACGCACAGGAAATGTCTGCACAATGTGGTAAAATCTGGTACTTTTTAGATTGTGGGGACATCTTTCAGGTCCCCACAATATAAACTTCAATTTTATACTAATCTGAAAGTGCAATCAAAACATTAAAAATGCCCAAAATCTTGTATTTTGTTTGGCTACTTATGGTTAAGGTTGTCATAGTTGGGATTAGGGATTTTCCCATATAAATAAATGGAAAGTCCCCACAAAGACAGGAATACAAATGTGTGTGTGTGTGTGTGTGTGTGTGTGTGAGTGTGTGTAAATTACATAGATGGTGACAAAAGATTCACTGATCTTGACCTTGCCGACGATGCTGTGATCTTCATGAAGTCAATGGAGGCTGTGACTGAGAGAGAAGTCCGAGTGTCTGGGATTGCGAGTGTCCTGGATAAAAACCAAGATGCAGGCCTTTAATGACTTCTAAGGCACAGCCATCAGTAGTGTGTCTGTCTGCGGGGAGAATGTCGACCTCTGGCAACTCTTCCTATGTAAGTCAGTAGTGAAGTGAAGTGGAAGTCATTAGCTGTCATTGTTGACACACCACAGTGCACAACAACGAAATGTGTCCTCTGCATTTAACCCTTATGAGACCCGGTGCCACAGCAGGGGGGGCAGCTAATTCAGCACCCGGGGAGCAGTGCTGGGGGGGCGGTACCTTGCTCAAGATCCCTCAGTGGTACTTCACTGATCGGGGATTTGGACCAGCAATCTTTTGATTACAAGTGGATTGGGAAACGGATTTGGGAGAGCATGAGGGGGGGGGGGGGGGTCATGAGGTCGCTGGAAAGGGGTGTACAGTGCTCCCAATATCTTTGCAAGAGGATGAAGGTCTAAGTCTTTAGAGTCCTGGTGCTCCTTGTCTTGCTGTATGGCTGTGAGACATGGACGCTATCCAGTGAGCTGAGACGAAGACTGGACTCCTTCGGTACTGTGTCTCTTCGGAGAATCCTTGGCTGCCGCTGGTTTGACTTTGTGTCGAATGAGCGGTTGCTAGAGGAGTCCCGAATGAGGCAGATTACCTGCATTGTGAGGGAGCGTCAGTTACGGGACTACGGCCTCACATGGGGGGGGGTCGCCAACTATGATCCCAAGGTGTTTTGTCCTATAGTTGTAGTGACAACACACTGTGCCAGTGCATGCTCAGCAAAGGACGTGTGTGCGGGTATTGAACACTAGATGGCAGTGTGCGCTGATAGTACCTACGACTTCAAAAATTAAGGCTGACAGTGTGTCGCTTTCTTTGTTTAATTTTCTCTGAGGGACAGTTTTACATTTGCCCATATGATGATCTTGCCAGTTATTTGCCTATTTGGCGATTTTGGCAGTGCAATGTCGAGTTTTCACCCCTTCGTTATTAATTACAACAACTCAGGAGATGTGTGGGTGACTTCCAAAATAATGAATACGTGATCTAATCCAGGCGCTTCTGAACATGGCGTGGTTCAGTATGGAGGACCATACTATGGAGGACTAACATGACATAATTATAAATAAATAAATGTGTGAATAAATAAGTAAATACTGAAATAAATAAATACATAAATACAGTTTGGCCATGAAAACTGCTAAATGGATTCCTATATTTGTTTATTAACGTTTTTAAATATTTATGAATTTCCACATTTCGTCATTTATTTATTTATGTATTTCCACATTTCTACATTCATTTATTTCTGCATTTCTGTCTCTGTATGTTAATAAGGTGGGCGGTCCCAAAAGCATGATTGGTTAAAAGTCGAGGCATTACTAATTGAGTCGCAAGGAAGCTCGACTTTTAACCAATCATGCTTTTGGGACCGCCCACCTTATTAACATACAGAGACAGAAATGCAGAAATAAATGAATGTGGAAATACATAAATAAATAAATGACGAAATGTGGAAATTCATAAATATTTAAATACGTTAATAAACAAATATAGGAATCCATTTAGCAGTTTTCATGGCCAAACTGTATTTATGTATTTATTTATTTCAGTATTTACTTATTTATTCACACATTTATTTATTTATAATTATGTCATGTCTAGTCCTCCATAGTTCCGGAGTTAATTAAATAATTAACGGTTTGGAGTCCCGATTAAAAAGCCAGTTACTGTCCCTTCCTGTGAGTATGAAAATGGGGGTGATGTGCCTCGGATGACAGTTTTGCTAGGCGGACCTTGCAGCATGTGGACGCTTTCTTAGGAAGCGGTGCCCACTGTGACCTGTGCAGGTCCGCCTAATGGTAAAACATAATCATTTAGGAACAACTGTAGGCGAAAAACCACTTTCCTCGCCCTTGATGTCTGCACATTATTTTGCATCGTAAAACACGGAATCCGATTTCAGTCTTAAATGTGGACATGAAGTGGCATGAAGTACAGATCGCCCGTGACAGGGCTGGGCATCGCCTCCTTTTAGCATGTTGAATACCTTCAGAATACCTTCAATGTCTCTTCAAGACGAACTTAAATCCCTAATGCTTATTTTTAAATTGCATTTTGCGTAATCGTGACCAGGTCCATTGTGTCAAAACAATTTTTGTCGATTAATCGTCTCTCTCATAACAGATGACGATAGTGGACTATCGAAGGCTAAAAGTATAACCTGAAAATATAACTGAAATGTTTTCCGGTCCCAAAAACGCGG